CGGGAAGCCTGCTTCTCCCTCTCCCACTCTCCCTGCTTGTGTTCCCTCTCTCGCTGTGTCTCTCTCTGTCAAATAAATAAATAAAATCTTAAAAAAGAAAGAAAAGAAACAATCAGGGAAATTTGAATGCTGAGTGAATATTTAATGACATTAAGGCATGATATTGAGTTTTAGGTAAAGTATTGGTAGGTAATCATGTTAAAAAGGCTATTTTAGTACTTTTTCATGTATTTTTCAATTTTTCTTGTTTTCTAATAAATGCATTTAGGTTATAAATACTTCTCTGAGAAGCACTTTGGCCACATAACACAGGTTTCATGTGTAAGGAGAGAGTGTTCTCACATTCATTTCTTTCCTTTTTTTTTTTTTTAAGATTTTATTTATTTATTTGAGAGAGAGAGCATGAGCAGGGGGAAGAGACAGAGGGAGAGGGAGCAGCAGACTCCCCGGTGAGCAGGGAGCCCGACGCGGGACGTGATCCCAAGACCCTGAGACCATGACCTGAGCCGAAGGCAGACGCCCAACCGACTGAGCCACCCCGGCGCCCCTCACATTCATTTCTAAACGGTCTGTGAGTTCAGTTTAGAACTGGTTACATTGTAGCAGCAGGGGAATAATCAAGCTAACAAGAGACTTAAGACAACAAATCCTGATGGGGTGCCTAAGTGGCTCAGTTGGTTAAGCGTCTGACTCTTGGTTTCAGCTCAGCTCAGGATCTCAGTGTCGTGAGATGGAGTCCCATATTGGGCCCTGTGCTCAGCGGGGAGTCTGCTTGAGATTCTCTCTCTCCCTCTGGCCTACCCCTGCTCATGCATGCTCTCTCTCTCAGTAAATTAAATTAAAAAAAAAAAAAAAAAAGACAACAGATCCTGACAGCAAGGCTAGAGGACTGGGAGGAAGCAATTTCAGTTTCTTACTAGCTACTTCCCATGATGTTGCTGCCTAGGGAGGCCTTTGCTACCCGAGCCTCTCTGTGTCCAACATTCTAGTTCCAAGGCAGAATCCCTTCTGTTCCAGGTCGCCAGAGCCTTCAGCCTAATGAGCGCCACGATGAAACTGAAGCAAGGATCGTTTCTGTGGTACCTCTATCTGGACAAGCTGTACTGCCTGTTATCCGTGAGGAACGTGAAGGCCTTGCTGGAGTATTTTCACCTTCTTGACGTCCACCACAACAACACCTTGAATGGTCAGTGAGTTCAGCAGGGCTTCCTCTGAGTTGTTACCTGGCTTTTAACTAATGTGCAGGGAAACTCGCAGAACCAGAAACTGCCTTACTAACAAATATGTATTTTATCTTCTAAATGAAGCTAGAGAAATCGCGCAGTTGAGTGAGGAGGGGAAGGCCACTAGGCTCGGGGGGTGGGGGGGGAGCCCCTGGTGCCCTTTGGTGACTTGGAGAGTGTGTCATCATCCTCTTTAAGGGTCATTTTCCTCATCCATAAATGAAGCTTCTCATAATAGAGCCCACCTCATGGTTGGGGGGAAAAAAAAGATAATGAAATAAGATAATGTGTGGAAAATGGTTAACACAATGCCTGGCACATGGTAAGAACTTACTAAGTGTTTGTTATTATTATAATTATTCCTGGAGGCTGAGGCCCATTCAGGCATTAACCCTTGAAGACCCCCTAACAAGATTTCTCATCTGTCAAGTGGGAGGTTTGAATCAATGATCCACAGGATCCCTTCTAATTTTTGGTACTTGAGAGTAACCAAAAAGTGTTCATCATCTTGACTCTGCCTTTGAATGCACAAACTAATGGAAGACCAATTAAAATACTTTAGGCTTTTTTGGGTTTGTTTTGTTTTGAAGGACTGGGTATAAATAAAGTATCCTATCCATTCATTGTGATCTGAAGGAAATAAGTGTCATTTGTGAATAAGGTGTGTCTTCCATAAAGATTCTTTTTTAAAGATTTATTTATTTGAGAGAGAGAGAGAGAAAGAAGGAGAGAAGGAGCGGGGAGGGGGGGCAGAGGGAGAGGGAGAGAGAGAATCTCAGGCAGAATCCCCGCTGAGCATGGAGCCAGACGTGGGGCTTGAGTGGGGCTTGATCACAAGACCCTGAGATCACGACCGGAGCCAAAATCAAGAGTTGGACACTCAACCGACTGCGCTCCCCAGGCACCCCTTCCGTAAAGATTTTTGAGAGCCTTTGCAATCTTTACAAAATGATAAAAGACACCTTTGTTTTCTCACAATTTCATGCCTCAGTTTTTCTCTTTACATATAGATTCACACACAATGTCACCAAATCTTTGCAATAGCACAGAACTAGATGAGGCAACTGTAAGGGCACCCGGCTGTAAACAGAAAAGCTGGGACAAACCCAGGGCTTCCTGACTCCAAAGCCTACACTCATGGTCTCACCAGAATGTTTGCTGAGAAGTCTGGTCTCCCTAGTAACTAAATCACTCTGCGATGATGCCTGAGAGGTAAAGTCATGCTCCTGTGTTCTGGTCACCAAGGGACTGGGTAGTGCCATGAGAGAGTGAAGACACAGCCTTAAGTTTTGCCTTCAAGGAGGCAGTGACTTAAGGCTTTGGAAACTTGAGTGGGCCAGAACCAGCAGTATTTGCTAAGTAGCTACTAAGTCCCATACTGCAACATTTCTCAAGGAGCAACTACACAAAGGTCACTGTTATATATAATGTGTTGTTCCCACGTGTTCGTAACTGGTGGGGCATAGGGAAGGAAAGACTGTGTCAGACGGACATCTGAATCCCAGCTCTGCCACTTCCAGTGGGGTCCACCAGCCAGCAGCAGCGATGTCCACAACATCGCAAGGAGCTTGTGAGAAATGTAGACTCAGTCTGACACCGGGTTTCATGAATCAGAATCTGTATTTTTACAAGATTCTCAAGTGAATGGTATACCCATTACAGTCAGAGAAGCACTGAAATAGACCAGTTACTATCTGAGGCTTAGTATAAAAGGGTGTGATGCCACTTTCCCTGGAGGGGTGTCGGGGTTCAGTGAAACGCAGCAGCTAAAGCACCTAGCCCCTAAAGCGCTCCATGATTGCTCCTTTCCCCCATCGCCAAATGCATGTGCTTCACATAAGCATGAGGAATACTGATACTTTTATAGGAATGATTTTTAAATTTCTCCTGTTTTCATGATCTCAAGTGAAAGACCCAGGTGAGATTCAGCTTCTCCAAGAAAGTGTCCAAGGTCCCCAGTGAGAACTCAGCTCTTCCATGTCTGAGGAGTACTCCGTGCCTGTTATTGCTTAAGGACACACCTCTGTGTCAATAACTGAGCCCAACCCACAGTCTCATCCTCCACAGATCTGGGCCCAGGGCCTTGTCACATGGCTCCAGGGCAAGTAAGGTTTGAGGAATTGTGGAAGGGATGGTGACGAAGTGAGAGACCAAGTGTTACCATGGCTATTTCGGCTCAGCAAGCTTCTGGCGCTGCTGCCGTTTATGTGGCCCCTGCTTGTTCGGCATCTGGAACGGTCTCAGAATAATCCATCTCTTCGCCTCCCCACCTTAACAGATGTGCTGTTCTATCACTTCCTTCACCACGTGACCAGCTGGAAACGGACACAGATCATGACTGTGTTTAACATGCTGGACTGGAACGCTATGGGCGAGATCGGTTTTGACCAGTTCTACATGTTGGTCTGCATCCTGCTAGCACAACAGGCGAGTAACAAGTCAGGATCTGGGGCAGAGGAGGCAGAGTGTGGCTGCCGCCACCATCCTGCTAAAGGTAGCCGTGAACTAAGACGCATCAGAGTTGTCTTCCTTTCACTCAAAACAGGAAGGAAAGAAAATGGGGAGACAACTACCTGTGGCTCCTAAACGGTCTGTCTATAACCTAGAAATTTGCAGGCCACCCAGCCTCACTCCCCCTGCTGCCCATCTTCAGCCCTCCCGCATCCTCTTTCTGTAGATCTCACCCCATTGCTTTCCTCCTTGGCATGCCCATCCTTGCCCTTCTTAAAGAGCCACCAGGAATCCCAAGTGCCTCCCTCTCTCAGTGATCACTTTTCTCAGAGAATTTTCTGAAGGGGATGGAGGATGGAGATGAGAAACCTTCTTCTTTGGGTTCCTACCTTACCCTATGCACACTTCCATTGTGTATTTGCCTACTTCCCACTTGGAAAGGAAGCTTGTCTTCAGGATCTTATCACCTTACCATGATGTTTCACAAGTAGATTCTCACCAAATATAAGGAAATGTGTTCTAGTGACAGGGTTCTGTCTAGCAGAATTGATCACAACAGGTGGCTTAAGTTCCCCTCAAATACAGATGCTGAAGCAGGACTTGATACATTAACCATAGAAGGCTTTCAACCCTGAGCTTCTAGGATTTTGCCTTTTGCTTTTAGCTCTCTAGGAAATGGATGTGAATATACTAGTCTTGATGCAGCCCAAGTTTTTTAAATTTTTTTTCTTTAAAGATTTTATTTATTTATTTGACAGAGAGAGACACAGCGAGAGAGGGAACACAAGCAGGGGGAGTGGGAGAGGGAGAAGCA